CCCGGCCTGCACTGGGCGAGGGGGGAGCCCCAAGCTCCCAGCATGAGCACGGTGCTGGCCAAGGGGCTGGCAGCAAGAGATCCTGCACCAGGCACATGCAGGCTTCCCCAGCGCAGGCACCACCAGGCCAGGGAGGGCTGCGCACCAGGGATGCCACACTGGTGGGCAGAGGATGCCCCAGCAGCCATCTCCAAGAAGCATCGTGGTCCCAGCTCTGCTCCCGCTCTGTGATGGGCAGCAAGGGAGGGCCAGGCGCCCCAGGGCGGGCAGGACCCCAGACTCACAGGGCACTGGGGTCTTCAGGGAACTGCAAGCTGCCGAAGGTGTCCGGCCGGTCCAGGATGATGGAGGAAGACGCAGAGGTCACTGTCTCCCGCCGGCAGCCTGGCCAGGGGGGAGAGGAGGCAGCTGCTGAACTGGCTCTTACCCTGAGCCCATCCCACGGCTCACCCCTATGCCCCCCCAAAAAGCCATGTGCCCCATTGGTATCTTACTGAGCCTCTCCTCCTCCTTGTTGAGCTCCTCCGAGCTGTCCTTCTTGCTGGGGCCTGCGCTGCCCCGGTAGGCTTGGGTCTGCTTGTTCTGCTCATCCACAGCTGGATGCAAAGAAGGGCATGACAGCGAGTCCTGCGCAGCCCCATGGCCCTGTGCCCCCTCCCTGGGGGACTCGTGCCAGGCAGGACCCAGGGTGGCACCTTTGCCCCACGTTGGGGACCTCTCTCAGCCAAGCCAAGCACCAGAGAAGGGCTGATGCCCTTGAATTGCACAGCACTGCTGCCACCGCAAGGATTCAGATGGGGAAACCAAGGCACGGCTCCAGCACCAAGCTGCGGTGGCTCTGCAGCCCACGCCAGGCTGCTGCAGCGCCACGCGAGCTGCCAGCCCCTGCCACCCCCTCACCTTTCTCCGCCTGCTCAATGATTTGCCGCAGGGCTTTCTTCAGGCTGTTCGCCCGCAGCATGAGCTGCTCCTTGGATTTGAAGATGCGAGGCAAAAGGCTGCCGCCTTTCTCCTGGTCCTTGGTGTCAGCAGGGGTAGCCTGTGCCATTCCCTCAGGGACCACGATGGCCTGAGCCTCCTCGTTCAGCTCCCGCACCAGCGAGTCCAGCTTCTCATTCAGCATGGCACACTGCGGGACGCCCACCACGCTCAGCACCCTGGCACAAGTCACTGCCCAGCGCCAGTGCTGGGTGCTTGCCTGGGCACCTCTAGTGCCTGGGCATCCCAAGCACGAGGGCACCCTATCTTAGCCTAGGCACTTCAGGCTTGCCAGGACATCCCAAGTGCCTGGGCCCCCCAAGGACCGCACACCCTGACGCATGC